GCAATCTGGCTTACTTAGACTTCTAATTTCTGATTGCAGCATGACAATTTTGATAACCAGCTTGAAGATTATTGTTTATTTGTTGTTAAGTTGAATAAACTGAGTCATAATCTTCGTGAAAGTTGGTTCTCTTGGTTTATTCGGATTGGCAGGTTTCTGCTGAGGATAAATGCACTACTCAGATGGATTGTTGTTGATCCACGAGAAGTTGGGGTGCTTCTTCCATCTTGGGTTATATGTTTTGGAGTAGGGATCATGTCATGGCTTCTGAAAGGAATTTATTTGATTAGCTTGTTCCTACGTAAGATCACTCAAAGGGCAACTACTAGTTGGATAAGAACTATCAGAGCAAATAGCGTAGACAAAGGAAAGAGAAACAAATCTGGTCATTGATTGCATGAAAATTTCAAGATTCTTTTCCAAGTTGGATACTTGACATGCTGAAGCAACTCCAAGATTTGTATCGACATTGTGCACACTAGTCTTCCTTGTGAATCTGTTATCTCCCCATTGCATAGAGTTGCAGCAACTCTATCAAAAGTTTTAAAACACTCCTCAGGAAATGTGATACATGAAGGCTTTTCTAAGATTGTGGACTGTGAATACTCTTTCAAGGGCTAGTGTTGGCTGCCATTGACTCTGTGTCAAACTCTAAATCAGTAGCAAACGCTCGTTGGTTGATGCAACAGACCTTTCAGAACGTTTTTTCTATCTTAGGATCAAGGGGCACTAATTCTTGACCTTGGGATCTTGTGCTGACCATTAACTAACACACACAGAGCACACAAATACTTGAGAGCAACCTACAGACAACGAACCAAAAGAGATAGTTAATAATAGGTGATGCCGGAAAACAAAGAAACAAATAATAAAAGAAAATAAATCAAAGAAATACAACAAAGTAAAACGATAACACAAAGATTAAAGGGACGACAAGTTACTGAAATAACAACCAAAGTAAAGCTAAAATCACACAACACAAAGCATTAAACTCAGTCCTCGGCAACGGCGCCAAAAACTTGATGTATAATTATACTACCTGAAAATTAGATAGTTAAGTTCAAGAAATAAACTTGCAAGCACACAAGGTTAATGCAATATGGCGAAGGCAAGTACAAGGTCGTTCCCACAAAGACTGAATTAATTCTCCAGTTGTTGTGAATTATAAACTAATTTAAATCCTAAATTACTCTAGACTGTTGACGCGCGTCTCCTAATTAATCAAGGAGATTTATTTCCTTGATTAATTAAGGGATTCACTTTCCCATTTTATTCAATTGACAAATCTTTGGATAATTAGGAGATACTATCCTAATTGATTATTGTATCTATTTCCTTGTAAAACACTCATGTAAACTCCTATATATACCTCCTCATGGAGAAGAATAATATTCAACCTAATACATTCAAACCATATTAATTTTTTAGCATGGTATCAGAGCAATCGATCCTAGGTTGTCTCTAAACCCTTATCTCAAATTTCTCATGTTCAAATCCAAAACCCTAAATCAAATTCCTCATCATTTTCCCCAAATCCAAATCCCTCAAATCTAAAGTCCTCAAATCCTGTTATCCAAATCCCTGAACACATACCCTCAAATTTGTACATCAAATTCCTGACCTTCTCATATCACATCTTATTTCCGCTGCGATGTCAGGAACCCCTACGATTCTCCATGTTATTGCAGACTCACAGAAGCATGCCTTCAATCCTGCTGCCCCGGCTACCCGGAATTCTGCTTCTATCACCACCACCAAAGCTTCTACTTTTCATACGTCCTTCAAAAACTCCGCATGGATTATCGACTCGAGCGCTACGGATCACATGATATTTGATCCTGGCCAACTTATTAATCTCAAATCAATCATCCACTCTGTCGGTGGTGTCTAATGCTAATAGTATCCCCTCCCCTGTAGTTAGGGAGGGCTCTCTATCTCTCTCTACTTCCCTACATATGATCGGTTTTCCTCTAAGCCATATTGCATTTGAGTGCTTCATCTTTTAGTCCATTCCAGCTAGGCTTCATCCTTCCTCTCATCCCACTGGGTAATTAATCTAGAATTAATGATAGATAGGTTAATAATTAAATTCCAGATCATGCATATTTACTACTAAATCAATGATAGATAGGGTAACAACAATAGATAGGGTTCATCCTTCCTTTCTCCCTGATTAATTATTATTATGGGCTTAACTCAAGGGATTTATGAGTTTTCTTCATTTGTTTGATCTCTCTCAAAGATTATTGCTTTTTATTAATTTTAAGTTAGAAAAAAAGTTGAGATTAAATGGCTCTAGGAAATAAAAGTTGTAGGGACCTATATTAGACAAACCCTAGGTTTTATTACGGCATCATTGTCATTAGGGTCTTCTTTTACAAGATAAGGTCTTCGAATCAGTAAGATAAGGGTTTTTGGTCAGTCTGCTTACAAGTTTCAATTCTTTTTGTTGTTCTAACTAGGTACAACAACATAATTCGGAGAGGCCTAAGAATTTCTTTTATTTTTTGCTATTTTGAGAGATGAGAATGAGGCCCCCGTTGTCCAATACAAATTCCAGTGGCGGATCCAAGATTGGAAAGCCAATTGGGAGGAACTTACATACTAAAATCGACGATACAAGTAAATTTCATTAATAATCAGAAAAAAGATACACCTAGTCAGGGGGAACGTAGTGAGCCTTACCCCCAAATACATCTATACATTAATAAAAGCTTAACAACAAAAACAAAAACCACAAGTGAAAGATAACCTACGAATAACATGTAAAAGAAATAATTTAAATCAAACATAGCAACAAAAAATCAAACAAATTCTCATAATAATAGCATCTCAACAATATGAACAAATAACAAATTAAACATTGAAACATCTCAACAAAGTTCTTAAAATCAAAGCCCCAACTTAATTTCAACAAAATCACAAAATTATAATTTAATCTCTAAGTAAATCCTAGAATATTCAATTTTAAATTAAAACTATAATGAAAGATATATAGAAATTGAGAGAATTAGAAAATACTTCTTGTTGTAGAAAGGAGAGGAGATGATTTTGCCAAGTTGCCCACTGCCCAGCCAGTATAATAGGAATATGCAGCAAATAGAGCGGGGGAAAAGAGGTTGTTGTGGTCGCTATAGAATAGAAGAGATAAATAATCTGTGCCAAAAGAGAAAAGACAAAATATATGGGACCACGTACGTCCTCTTGGAAGTTGGATGGGCAACGTGTTTATATTGGATTAGGTTTTAAGTTTTTAAATTTGGGCTGCCCTTATAACATATATAGGTTTTAAAAATAAAATAAAAACTTTGGAATGGGCAGGCACCCATCCTGCCCTTTACACAAATCCGCCACTATAAGTGGTACTCTTTGTACAACACGTATATGCATGCATAAAATTAATATATTAATTCATACTAATGAATAAAATTATATAATGCACTAAGTGATTTATGATTTTTTAATCGGCAGAGCATTCAGATTTTGGACCTCTTCCAAATGTCATGCAATAAGTTAACCCATATGAAAATGACAACATTGGGAGATATATTTAGTTATCCTATACAATCACGTGGTGCAGCTAATTCATGTGTTATAATATGAGTTGATAAGAAAGTTAATATTTCATGAACACATGATACATTATTATTATGAGTTTTTCTATTTAAACTCCACATTTTTCTTTGTTTGCCTCAATACTTAAATCATTAAGCTCTTAAGTTGAATTATTGTATAAAAAGACAAAAAAAGTCATCCAACTTAATATTTAACCCTAGTATACACACACACCACCACTCTTCATATTAAGTTTTAGGAAAACACAAACTCCTCTACACCCTATTGCCAGATTACTTTTCTCTTTCAATCCAAAAAACCTACTACACTCTCATCTTCTCTTCACAAACCCCAAGTACGGTATGCAAATAGTGGCTTATGGGTCGTCAATTGATCGAGGTATATAATGTGAGATTATTTCTTGGGTTGTCAATTAAGCTCTTAAGTTTTGTTTCTGTTTGTTATCAATATATCGTTTCTCTTCAGAAATAAAAAAAATAAAAATTGAAGAACATATTGCATATAACATCATTGAGTAATATTATATTGTTTGATCATAATATGTTTTTATGAAGTCCAATATATATATATATATATATATATAGTCCCCTTCTATTGAGGGACACCTTTTAGGATTCCGTACAATTTTTTTTTTCAACGATCCAAACCATAAATTTTTAAAGTCTACATTCATAGATCATCCTTGCAAAAAATTAGATAAATCGGAAACCGTTTTGACATCAAATTGTGTCCAACAAAATCAATGAACACGGTGCTTCAATAAAGTACTAAAATTTCAATATTTCAATTGAGTGGTCAAATGATATCGGATTCAAGTAATTTTTTATAAAGATGATCTTTAAATGAATATCTAAAAAATAGACAGTTTGGATTAGTGAAAAATAATGTAGAGTGGGCACTACAGGGGTGTCCCTCAAATATGCTTATTTGAGGGATCCTTCAGCTGAAGCTCACTCTGTGTGTGTGTGTGTGTGTGTGTGTCTCTATATATTGAATAGTTGACAACAATGTTTTTATCTATTCAAGTAGTGTGGGGTGTGAGGTTGATGACTTTTTTATTTTTATTTTGTTTGCTGGATGTGTATTTAGGGCTAGTTTGGGAAGATAGTGGGTTTTCTTAGAAATTGTGAAAATTTGAATTACAAGTTAGAGTGAACTTTTAATATGAAGTGAACAAAGAGAAGTGCAGAGTTTAAATAGAAAAACTTTATTATTATTGATAAATAGATTAGATATACATGTTATAACATGAGTGAAATAACACCGTGAAAAGGCAATAACAAAATACCTCTAGTGGCATTAGGGAACATATTTTTCTTCCTTCATTTTTGAAAAATGAGGGCCACTAGACTTGGGTAATAAATTTGACGAATAGAGCCAAGTTAATAAAATTAAGTGGGAGGATAACTGTGGATACTTTTATGAAATTTGGTAATTAACAGGTGAAAAATCAATGGTAAAGAAGCGTTATCTACACATCACGAAAGAGATCCTAAAGGCAAACCCAAACATATGTCGCTACAAGGCACCCTCACTGGATTCACATCAGGACATGTTGATTCCAGAGGTACCCAAGCTTGGCAAGGAAGCGGCACTGAAGGCCATCGAAGAGTGGGGCCAGCCCATTTCAAACATTACCCATCTCATCTTCTGCACATCTTCCTACGTCGACATGCCTGGCGCCGACTTTCAACTGGTCAAGCTCCTCGGCCTTGACCCCTCTGTGAACAGATTCATGATCTACGTACAAGGCTGCTTCGCTGGTGGGACTGCCCTACGTCTTGCCAAAGACATCGCAGAAAACAACCCCAGCGCACGCGTTCTGGTGGTGTGCTGTGAGATCACAAATATGTATTTTCAAGCACCCACTGAGAGCCATGTGGATGTTTTGGTAGGACAGGCTTTGTTTGTAGATGGTGTGTCGGCTTTAATTGTTGGTGCTAATCCTGACCCCAAAATGAACGAACGGCAGGCGTATGAGATTATGTCAACGAGAGAGACTATTGTCCCATACTCGGAGCATGGCGTGGTGGTACACTTCTGTGAAATGGGTTGCGAGTATTATCTTTCACCAGATGTGCAAAAGTTCGTTGGTGCAAACATTGAGGAGATTTTCGTAAAAGGGTTTAGCGAAATTGATGGGATAAATAATGATTGGAACTCGTTGTTCTATAGCATCCACCCTGGTGGACCGGCCATTTTAGACTAGGTTGAAGAAAAACTGGGTCTGAATTAGGGGAAGCTGGGAGAAACCAGGCATGTATTGAGGGAGTATGGGAACATGGGATCTCCATCTGATTTGTTTATTCTCGATGAGATGAGGAAGAAGTCAATGGAGGAAGGAAAAGCCACAACTGGTGAAGCGCTGGACTGGGGTGTTCTGATTAGGATCGGGCCAGGGCTAACCGTGGAGACTGTTGTACTGCGTAGTGCCCTCATTGCTGCCTGCTAATTATGTCCTTAATTACTGATCATGGATTAAGGGCCAATTTGGTATTACTGTAATGTAAAAATAATGACTCTTAGTTTGGCTATGAGAGCAAATACTTTGGTGTTTGGGAAACTTTTTGTTATAAGTGTTGTTTGTATAATAATCAGTTTTTGAGTGTTTGGTAACTTTTTGTTATAAGTGTTGTTTGTATAATAATCAATTTCTGAGTGTTTGGTAAATATTTGTGTGAAAGTGTTGTGAGCTGTGTATAATGACTAAAAAGGGCATTATGTTGAAATGTCTTTTCTGTTAAAGTATTTGGTAAAAGGAAAAACACTTTTACTTTTTTTTTTTTTTTTTTTTCCAAACGAAGAGAGAATATTATTAAGGACGAATAGTAAGGTTTACATCACTGGCAAGAATATCAAAAATCCACTCAGGCCATAAATCATCCCAAGTATGGACTCCACCAACTCTAGACACAAAGGCCGCAATTTTATGCACTGCCTTGTATTAAATATGTTTCCATCACACCCTAAAAATTATTTTAATTATAAAATAAATAAAGTACTCCATTAAAAATAATATATTGTCAATAATATGGTCATAACAAAAATTAAGCTGGTCATAACAAAAATTAAGCTAGTCATAAACAAACAATTATATCTTGAGTCTTCTGCAGTTTCAGCCAGTTCTCCCGATAACAAAGCCGAGAATTAAATGACCGGGCTGGACAAAATGGATGAATTATTGTTATGTTTGTTGTATCATATGGTTTTGTAAAAGGAGTCTATTGCACACAAGAATTGTATACTACATAGCCTGTTGTAAAGTCATGCTTACGGTTTAAGGTGGGAGTTAAGTTAAATGTTTACAAAATTGTATTGAAATGCAGGTGTTCATTTATTTTCTTTCTAACTTCTAATTAATTTTACTTTTATTATTGATAATAGAGCAATTACACATTAATTGGGTAAGAGCATCTACAATCATGCTTTCTATTTTTTAGTTAAAATTTAGCTAAAAATATATGAAAGATATTCTAGAAGCTCTTTATAAAATTTTAACTCCAATCATACTCTTTAGTTTAGGAAGTCATAAATGTTATAACTCTTTTTTAATTAGTCCATCTTTATAAAAACAAAATTAATATAAAAAATAGTTAGCATTAATTAAAGGTTTAAAATACTCATAAAATAAAGCAGTATGAAATTATAGGGAGCCGCTAGAAATTTTTTCTCTCTCTTCAGATTTAGGAGCTCCTAGAAGTCTCAATATTTTAGGAGGTGGATAAGGAGCATGGTTGAAGTTGTATTTTTCCAATTCCTCCCTAAAATTTGTCTAAGGAGATGGTTTAAGGAGCCCATTGTGGATGCTCTAAACAATGCCTTTGTAGTATCGATCCTATTAAATTATGTCATTTATCTTTTGGGAGATTGACTATAATACCCAATATAGGAGCCCAAATTATATATAAAAAAAAACCTATATGAAATGGACTTTAGAAACACACTCAAAAACCATTTACAACATAACAAAAAGACATTTAACTTGTTTCAAATTACAAAACTGCCATTGATTTCTTAGAACAAACTCAACCCAAAAACCTCGTAGAAAAAGCCCAAAGCAGTCAATGAGGAATCAAAGTAATTTAATAATTAAAATTAAATTCAATAGGGCCAACTGTCATTTTTTGGGTTTTTTTTGGGTATGTTTATAGAAATTAAATAGTGTAGGGTTTATTTATAGTTTTAGTGCTAAGAATGGGTATTTTACTATATATCTCTATTTTTATTTTTTTTTAGTCAATTAACATCTTAACTTGTTTTTATTTATTTGTGTGCAATTAATAGGTGAAAAATAGAAGACAAAGAAGCGTTTTCTGCACATCTCGGAAGAGTTTCTGAAAGCAAACCCAAACATATGTAGCTACAGGGCACCCTCACTCGATCCACATTAGGACATGTTGATTCTAGAGGTACCCAAGCTTGGCCAGGAAGCGTCATTGAAGGCCATCGAAGAGTGGGGCCAGCCCATCCCCCATCTCATCTTCTGCACAGCTTCCTGCGTCGACATGCCTGGCGCCGACTTTCAACACGTCAAGCTCTTCAGCCTTGACCCCTTAGTTAAAAGATTCATGATCTACCAACAAGGCTGCTTCGTTGGTGGGACTATCCTACGCCTTGCCAAGGACGTCGCAGAGAACAACCCCGGCGAATGTGTTTTGGTGGTGTGCTGTGAGATCACAACTATGTTTTTTCAGCCGCCTTCTGGTAGTCACTTGGATGTTTTAGTAGGGCAAGCTCTATTTTCAGATGGTGCTGTGGCTTTGATTGTTGGTGCCAATGCCGACTCCAATACTAATGAACGCCAAGTGTTTGAGATTATGTCAACGAGAGAAACTATTGTCTCCGACTCGGAGCATGGCGTGGTGGCACACTTGCGTGAAATGGGTTTTGAGTATTATATGTCGCCAGATGTGCCAAAGTTGGTTTCTACAAACATTGAGGACCTTTTGGTTAAAGGGTTTAAGAAAATAGATGGGATTAATAATGATTGGAACTCCTTGTTCTATAGCATCCATCCCGACAGACCGGCCATTTTAGACAAGGTTGAAGAAAAACTAGGTCTGAATAAGGGGAAGCTGAGAGCAACTAGGCATGTATTGAGCAAGTGTGGGAACATGGGAGCTCCATCTGTTCTGTTTATTCTCGATGAGATAAGAAAGAAGTCAACGAAGGAAGGAGAAGCTACAACTGGTGATGGTTTGGAATATGGTGTTCTGATTGGGATTGGACCACGGCTCACCGTGGAGACTGTTGTGCTACATAGTGTCCCTATTGCTACTGCTAATTAATTAAGTCGTTAATTACTGTTGGGGCCCAAAAAATCTAAGGCTTGACCCAAATATAATCCTGGTCCAATGCGATACCTTACTGAGAAGAAATCCGATTTGGGCGTGCGAAAGTTCATCATACACACTCGCATGAGTCATGATCCATGTGCCACGCCAAGCAAATATGTAACCTATCACGCTAAAAGTTGTAGCAAGCCTATAAAATGCACCGGCTTTATGAACCCATGCTAATTATCCTGCCAAGAGCTGTTTTGACTCGACCATAGCCCTTTACCATACGATGAAATTTGAGCACGAGCATGCCAATTGACATGCCACGCCAAGGGGAAAACCCTTCATTGTACACCTAGCCACACTACAAGCTTAACTGGGCCCAAGCCACTCAAATTCCTAGGGCTTGCTGAGCGGGTTGTGGTATGGATGGTTACGAGCATTCACGAGGCCTGTGGGCCAAGAAGTGGAAGTTTTGGACTGCTTAGGTGCCCCAAAACTCGAGCCCATTTCTTGAGCCCAAATATGTGGGTAAGCATGAAAGAAAGAAAAAGATAGTCCATTACCTTAGAAAATTGGCCCATCACCTTAGTAAAATAGTCCATCACTTTAGAAAGTTGGCCCATCCTCTTAGTACACTAGCTCATCACCTTAGGGAATGGCCCAAGTGACTTAGAAAATATATGAAAGTCTCCAGCACCTGGCCAGAGACAAAACCATGATAGACCATTTGAAATACCAAAAAGTATTTGTGTGTGCAGGCTGCTAGGAGTCTACAGCACATGGTCAAAGACAAACCGAACACAAACCATCCAAAAAACTAAAGGATAGTTGAGCAAAACACCATTAAGACCAACACCATTACCTACTCCTTTCTCCCACCAGCTCTTGCCATAAAATGAAAGAGAAAAGAAGGAGAAATGGTAGCCCAAAATAGGAGATGGCCACAGGGATAGCTGCGAGAAGGCTCTAGAGCCTCCAAAATTTTTGTCTATTTGTGTTTGGATTAGGGAGGATTTCACTAAATAGGGATGAATCAAAAGAGGAGAAGAGGAATGGAAGGGAGACTTGGCAGACCCAACTAAGGCTTCTTGGGAAGAAGGAGTTTCCAACACTTATAAAAAGGGGCATCTCTTACCCATCATCTCACCCCCCGCACCCAGAGAGAGCAAGCATCACCTCTTACCACTGGAACCCTTTGATTTCGAGCCCTATTCCTCCATCTCTTCTCCTTTTCTCTGCCGAAAATTTTCTAAAACAACCCATCATCTCAACCACATCCAGAGAGAGCAAACATCACCTCTCATCCTTGGAACCCTTCAATTTCGAGCCCTATTCCTCCATTTGTTCCCATTTTCTCTTCTGGCAAGCCATTCCAAAGCCTGATGATGCTTTCGTCAAGCTGCCAGAAAATTGTCAAACCACCCACTTCTCCTTCCTCATCTATTCTTTTCTCTCCCCTCAAAAAATTCTCTCGAAATTCCTTCTCCCCTTATATTTGGGCCTAAGAATTCCACACGCCAACCCATTTTGACGAAGAGGCCCATAAACAGAAAAAACAGAAGAATGGGCCTTGACTCCAGAAAAACAGCCCAATCGACATTAGAAGCCCATGTTTTTTGCAAAGGTGGCGGAGGTTTAAAAACACAAAAATAACCAATTAAATTGCCAATTAAATCGTAATTTATCGCAAAGCAGGTTGAAAACCTCTAAGAAATTGGATTTAACCCAGCTTCTGAAAAATTCTTGTCACTTGATCTCAAAAGCAAGTCAACAGATCTTTTTTACTAAAAAAAATGTTTTCCCAAAAGAGCCCTACGTGACTTCCTGACTTTGAAAAATCAAAATTTTCAACTATCACAGAGGAGTTGATAAGGAGTAAATGAAGGCAGGTTTTACAAGAGGACTTCTCCAATCTTTGCAGCTAAAGGAAGAAGATCAAAATCTCTGTTTATACATAGAAAATCTCTGTACCAAATAAGGTTACCTTTCCAAGAGATAAGCAGGCTACGTTTTCAAAAGATAAGTAGGGAGAAAGAGAGTTGTTCATCAAAAAAAGAAAACTGACCATCATGGCAGATTGTGTCTTTCCTTCCTTACAAGAAATTATTAGAGAGCAAAAGAAGTTGATTTTCTTTTTGGGAAAAGCAAGGAAAAGACCACCATGGGAATT